CAAAATATCATATTTGGGGTGATGTGCAACACTTTTTTGGGGTGGACGTAACTACTTTTTACGTGCCATAACTGCGATTCACATGATGAATAAAAAATTCTTAGTTATTTTCCTTTAATTATATTCCTCATTCAGTTATTAATAAATAAAAAATTAAACAAAAAATTTTTTTTTTTATTTAGTGAAATCTTCACTTTTCAGAGGTCAACTATACCTTAGTAAATTTTTTTTTGGCAGATTTCGATTAGTTTGCATTGAAAAAGCCTAAAATTAATAATTAAAGAGATTTTCATCGATATTTATGCATTACATACCTGAATTTTACTGGTGTTGCACATCACCCCAACTTTTTTGGAAAATGCAAAAACAGACGTTTTTGAAAAAGCGAAAAATTTGTAGGAAAAATTTTAAATTCTGACAATCTAATAATGCAGAAATTTTCTATTATAATGCCTCTAAGTCATTCAATTTTGAAATATTTAAAAATTTAATTATTTGACATGTTTTTTGTCCAACGAAAAAAAACGTTGCACATCACCCTATATATTCGATAATTTTCGTTTTTTTGCGCTTTACACCTTAAGTACCTAACTACCTTAAGTAGTCTTGCCCCACTCTCTCCTACTATTTATGCAAATCTGAAACCGATTTCATCGTAAGTCGTATTGTATAAGCCATTTTCAATTCTTAAAATCTGAAGTAAGATTCTGATTTAGCCACCCAGAAAACACCCACCAAGTAACAAGTTTCAATTGAATGCATTCATTTCAAAAAAATTTTTGGCCGCCATATTGGATCCGCCATTTTGAATTCTTATAAACTAACATCATATTCGTAAACAGCGACCCTAAAAACCCTCGAGTAACAAGTTTCAAGAAATTTTTTTAAAAAAATTGTTTGGATTTCCTTGAAACTTGTCACTCGGGGTTTTTTAGGAAAGTTTTCAAAAACTCGGAGGTTTTCAGTGAATATAATAATATTATAGTCACTGAATCCAAATCAGCATTCAGAAGAAGTGAAAATCAGTGTTATGGACAGGTTTTTGTCGCTCATAATTTGTCCGGATAAATTCAAACTCAATGCGGTTTGTGTATAACCAGTGAATCCGGAATTAGTCCGAAGTTAGTCTGATAATACGCAACTTGCAAATGTGAAATTATTAAATCCGGAATTAATCTGGTTTTGGTCAGATTTTTGTCATACGAAATTATAATTATAGTTTGAATTTATCTGCATTTAATACAAACTGTTTTTAATATACAAATTCAATATTATACCAAAATCATTCCTGATTAAGTCTTTGAATTGGATTGAATATCGATTGTTTTGAACTGTCTGTGAATTGTATATAAATATTTACAAATTCTTATAATAATAAGACTTATTTTCAGACTGTGGTGTTTTGATCAGATATTATTTGGATTGACGCTGACTATTACCGGATTCTTTGCATACAGATTTTGGATTGTTCCATACTTGTTTCGGATTAAATTCGGATTATTGCGGACTGATTTCGTATTATTTACATATTGATTTCGGATTATTTCGTATTTATTTTAGATAAGTTTTTTGACGGACATAATTTCGTATTGTTGCATAATAATTACGGACTTAATTCATATAGACATTTAAGGATACTCCAGACTGATTTAGGAGTCACAATTTCAGTCGGATTAATGTTAGATTAACGCGGATTATTTTCGTACAATTATCGGACTAATCCACACTAATGTACCAGGATTTAATCCGGATCAGTCAGAAATTTTTATCAGGGATATAATATGATTCGGTGGCCGTCTATTACCGGATTCTTAGCATACATATTTCGGATTGTTTTGTATTTGTTTCGGAATATGATTTTACCACACTAATTTCGAATTGAAGCGGATTAATGTCAGATTCTTTGTGTACAGATTTCGAATTATTTCGTATTTGTTTCGCATTATACCTTTTAGTTGGATTAAATCCGGATTGTTGCAGACAATTTTCGGATTCTTAGCATACAGATTTCGGATTGTTTCGTACTTGTAATAATACCGTATTTCTTGCTTACAGAGTTCGGATTGCTCCGGACATTTTGCGGATTAAGTTTTTTTTAACTAGATTAAACTCGGATTGTTGCGGACTGATTCCGTATTCTTTACATATTGATATCGGATAATTCCGTACTTATTTCAGAAGAATTCATCACCTGTCATAAATTTGTATTGTTGTGGACTAATTACGGACTGAATTCGTATACATTCAGGATTACTCCGGAGTATTTTCGGATTCAGGATTTCGTTCGGATTATAAAATTATATAAGATTATATAAGATTATATAAGACTAGCGCGAATCATTTTCGGACCTTTTTCGTACAATTTTCCGTCTAATCCGTACTAATCAGTCCGTATTTCATCCGGAATTAGTCCGAAATTTTTACCAGGGATGATGCTGATTTTGAGTATAGTTTTGATTCTGTTTCAAGCAGAATGTGTTATAAAGAGGTTAAATAGTACAGTGATGAATTAGATATTTTTAATAATTCAATGTTCGTCATTCAAAGCATCGCTGCATAAATTTATATTTACATATGTACGGATGTACGGAGATAACTGCTCGCTTTCTTGTCTCATTTTCCCACTTTCTTTCGTTCACATACGTCATTCATACTTCACAATTAATTTTCTCTCATCAGTTCATTCTCCTTAATCTTATCAATTTCCTTTTTTACAACAACACCCTTGGAGGGAATTAAAATTGCAATTTTCACTAAAAGTCAAATGCGGTGTCTATTCCTATGTCTTTTGGGTCTCTGAAACCGAAAAAGACCATTAAAAATAAATTCGTCCCCTCGTCCACCCCCTAGCACTCCTTTAGTATCGCTAGGGAGGAGGTTGAACTTTTCGGTTTCATGAAAAGTCGTCTATACTTTTCATAAAACCGAAAATTTTAATCCTCATTAGGGGGTAGTAAGAGAGGGCTAAAGGGTAAACGAGAGGACTAATTTATTTTTGGTGGTCTTTTTCGGTTTCAGGGACCCAAAAAACATGGGAATAGACACCCTACTCGACTATTTTTGAAAACTGAAATGCCAACTCCCTCACTCTCGTGTGGAGGTGTAAAGGGGGTGGTAGCGGGAAAATGGTCAAATAAAAAATTTTTTCATGGTCGTATTCGGCTTCAGCGACCCCTGAAACGTAGGAATATTAGGTTTTGCCCTTTGGATCACGAACCTAGAGAAAGACCTTAATAGCTATTAAACAATCACAAGAGGAGAATGGAAAATAACCCCTTCCCATGTGTGACCGTTCAATCGCTGTCAGAGTCTTTCTTAGGATTTGTGCGTCTGATAAAGTCAAAGAGTTTCATTTTTGTGATGAGTGAAAAGTGCTGCTTTAGTATTATACAGGGTGTGGCTAAAGTATGGAACCCCTTAAATATTTCTAAAAATCTGTATTTTGGGTGAAAATGTTTTGAATCAAAAGTTATTGGACTTTAAAAATGTATTAATTTTACTATATTTTTTAAACACAACTTTTGATTTAAAACATTTTGCTCTAGGATACATATGTTAAGATATATTAATGGGGTTCCATAATTTAGCCACAACCTGTATAAATCTAAATCAGCACTTGTATATTAATTTTAAATAAAAATAAATTAAATACTTTTAGGAGTTACGCCACCTTAAACGCATTTAAATTAGACGGTTTTTTAAGAATTTCTTTTGATGAAATTTTTTAGGATAAGACGTTTTTATTTTTATCGTTTCTTAATACATATTGTAAGCTATGTAAATACGAAATAGTTTTTAAAAAAAATTATAAATGTCGGAGATACACGCATTTACAGTTTTCATTAGAAACAAGTAAAAAATTATTTTTCTAAAAAGGGATAAATTTTGAACAGAGTGACGTAACCGTTTTTAAAAAAAAATTTTTTACGTAAATGTGAGCACTTTAAAGTTTGATTAAATTTTTTGAAAAAGTAAAATCTAACTTTAAAGTGCTCCCACCCAAGTGCGAAATTAAAAACGGCCCAATCATGGTCAAGTATTGGCAAAGTTGGTGCCGAATCTTGGCAGACAGTACTGGACCGACTCTTGGGAGGTTAACCGCGGCTGGTCGTCAGCCGAGTTGGAAGCCAGATAGCGGCAGACATTAATGGCCCAATATTGGCTGCCATTACTCCCATAGTATTGGTAAAAATGAAAAAAATTATTTTTTTTTAATTAATTAATTTATAATATTTATACGGTTTATTTTCTCAAGTTAAACGCAAACTTTCAAACATTTGAAAAATTCTTACCGCTCGCGGGGATCGACACTTGAACCTGACGCACCAAAGCCTAACACTCTGATCACTTGCCATTAAAGTGCCAATAATGAGCCATTACTGGGCCAATGGTCGGCACATCACTGGCAATTGTATTGCCAGTAACTATTGTCAATTCTCGGCAGACATTACTGAACCAATGATGGGCTGTTTTTGCAGTCTCGGCATTTCGCACTTGGGCATTTACGTAAAAAAAAATTTTCTCAAAACGGCTACGTCACTCCGCCATTTTTAATTTTTTAAAAAACTATTTTGTATTTACATAGCTTACAATATATATTAAAAAACAATAAAAATAAAAATATCTTAGGTATCTTAAATACCCAAGTGTGAAATGCCAAGACTGGAAAAAAGGCCCACAATTGGTCCAGTAATGTCTGCTGATAATTGGCAATAGTTACTGGGCGATTTCTGGTGTTCAAAACGTTCCATTGCTGGCCAATGATGGCGCTGATTGTCAGATATTCTAATTTTTAAGACTGAGCTGACTCTCGGCCCAATAATATATATCGGCAAAGTCAGTCAATCTTTAATGGCAAAATACAATTGCAACTCATGTGCAACATAGATGAACCCACTCAGGAAAAAAGGAGACTCTTAATGTCTGTAACGCACTCTATATTTTTATACTGTTGTGAGACTTGGGGAGATTCTCTACAAAAAGAGAAATATCGGAAGCGTATGTCACAAGTGCAGAGAAGAGGAGCTTTGCGAGTTGCAAGCTCTTACAGAACTGTGTCCGAGCCGGCATTGCTTGTAATGACAAGTATCATTCCAATCGACTTATTAGTCTTGGAAAGGAAACGGATATATAAGGACAAGGAACATATAAGCAGGGCAGAAGCAAAAAGGGCATCTAGGAACCAAACAATGCGTAAATGGCAGGAGAGATGGAACAATGATGATAGGGGTAGATGGAGATTTAAACTTATTCCGGATATAAGCAGCTGGGTGAAACGAAAAGCAGGAGAAACAGATTATCATTTGACACAATTTCTAAGTGGACATGGGTACTTTAATGCGTACTTATATAAGATAAGTAAAGTTAGAAGCCCGTCATGCATTTATTGTAAAGCGGAGAAAGATGACGCGCAACACACGTTCTTCCACTGCAGCAGATGGAATAAAGAGAGACTGCTACTAAGCCAATCCTTAGGTGTTTTTAATCCGACAAATATTACTTGTAAGATGATAGAAAAGGAAGGAAATTGGATATTAGTTAGAGATTATGTAGAAAATGTACTACATAAAAAAGATAGATTTAGACGCATCGGCGCGAGATTAAATAATAAATTAGGAAATTAAGGTTTTTAAAAACAAATGTAGAAAATAAATAGATATTCAGAAATAAATAGTTATTTAGAAATAAATAAAGGTTACTTAAAGTAAATAGATAAAAGAAGAAATAATAAGATGTACAGAGAGAGTTTCCAGGACGGAAAAATATAGATCTAGGAGGAATTAGGGCGCGGTTTTTTCATGTGGACTTATTGTAATTCGAATTTGTAATATGTCTGTATATTTCTCTCGCAAAACCTAAAAAAAAATCACATTCTCATTCGCTATTCGCGCGGAGGCTCGCTTCGCTCGTAAGTTTTAGCGCGCCTCGGGGCGCGCGAATTGTGCAGTCGTCGCGCTTTGCGCTCCGAGGATTATTGCGCGCAAATGGCTCGCTGTAAGGAGCATACCGCGACGCGTTAACCACTTCGGCGGCATGGCGTTCCAATTGGCGTTCCATGAGTAAGTGGCAGAAGCGGCACAAAGTGCGAAAATGGCGTTCCTACTTGAACTCGATTTCAAAAGTCTGTAGTCAAGTTAAACTTGCCAAAATCAAATATTCTTATTATTTGAGATAAATGAAGACGAATAGGACAAGAAAAAATTATTTTTTCAAGGTGTTAAATAGTTTTATAAGAGTTTTAATGCAGCCAATTTTAAATACTTTTTACGAATAGCGTTCCAACATTCACTCAATATGGTTCACAATATTGGATCCGTCTATTTTTGAATTTTTGAAAATCAATGTAAGATTCATAATCCCCAATAATAAAAAACATTTGGTTTGGTAAACTTAATTTGTTTACAAAGTATAGAAATAATGTTTAAATAGGAACGCCATTTTCGCCGCTTCTGCCACTTACTCATGGAACGCCAATTGGAACGCCATGCCGCTGAAGTAGTTAATTCCTCCCTTATCGTATTTTGTAATGTTTTTTCTTCGTTACGCTAATACTTTACTATCTCATGGAAATATAATGACATTATTTTTACTTACAAAATGTATTTTGTAAATTTGAAGACAAAAAAACGACAACTGGGTCAAGAAATCGAGCAATTGGTATCTGAGCTTCGACAAATGGTATTTTACAAACAATTTCTTTTATATTAATTATTTAATATATAATTTATTTTTTTAACGAAATTTTATCAAGTATAAAAGCTTAGATTCTCCACTTACTTAAATTATATTTTTTAATTTACATGGATGGTTTTGATTGTGATTAAGAAATGTGTAAATGTTGAACCTCACTATTTCCTCGACAAATGGTTCCATCACCCTACTAAGAAAATTATAGGAACGGATTTGAATTCAAAGTTAAAAAAATACTTTTTCAAACTATTCTGACCATTCCGATTTACTTAATATAATATCATTATATTATTTTGTTATTATTATTGTTATAATTTATACAGTACCGTCCGAAATTGTCAGTCCACCCATTTTCAAAGGAATGACAAAATTTTTTTAACATAAAATTCATGAATATTTTTATTATTTTGTTATTTCATTAAGTTACAAGCTGTAAACAATAAAGAATCAATTTTTCGTAACTCCAAACATGTTATTTTATTTTTTAACGATTAATGCTCTTTGAATTTTAAACATGGCCGACCTTGACTGTAAGGACCAACCTGGACTACATTTTTTATCTTTATAACTTTTTCATTTTAAAACCAATCAATTTACTTTGTACAGAAAAGATGTTCCTATTAAACAGGACTATCCAACCATATACTTCAATTGTCCAAATTCATTTTTAAAAAAAGTTATAAACAAAAGTCAAAAGGTGGGCCGACCTCGACTATGTTCCCCTACATTATAGGGGAGACTGGGATAAACCCGCTCACTTTTTTTCAGATCGGTAAAAATCTAGGAAATTATTCTCTAAATCCAAGTTAATTTATATCATTTGAAAGGTTATAATTTCTACTAAAAAAATGAAAAAGTGTTTTTGATTTATCTTTTTTAGTTTTACTTAGAGAAACTTTTAAAACACATATACCAAATTTTGAAATTACAATTCTCCAGGGTGTTATGGTTGAATTCGATTGTTTATAATTTAAATATTATTTATTTGAAAGTTTTTTATATTTTAATCGAATTCAGACTTAACTGTATTAAAAAGAATTTTTAATAGTCTTAAATCAATAAAACACTCAGTATTTTAATAGTAGGAAATGAATGTTAAGTTTATTTCGAATAAATACTGTTATTAAAATTTTAGGATCCCCCTTTAAGTACGTTATCAGTTCAACGTCTCCGGTTAAACGGTATTAAGGTTTATGAAAGAATATGAAAAGATGGGTTGAAAATAGGTTGTAAGACACAAATAATTACTCTAAAATAATAATGACATAATGTAGGTTATTTTATTAATGACATAAGAATAAAGCAGCATTAGCAAGAAAAATACAGTAATAGTTACAAAAAAAATATCCCTTGAAAATATTGCATATATATATATATATATATATACAGTAAGAAAAGCTATCCGTCAGTCATAGGAAAGTATGGGAATCGCATAAGTCTGTCTCACTCCCACTCATGGGACATGACTGACGTGGTAGGTTTTCGTACTGTATATAATCAGTATTAAGAATTATTAAAATTGCCCCCTTTAAGAATACAATAAACGATATAAATTCTTTAACTTTCGTAATATAAACATTTTTATTAAACTAAGAAAATTACTGTATTAACATTAATTTCGCCTTGTGTGTGTATGTGTGTGTGTTATGAAAATTGATAAATGTGGAATTATTATGTAGCTTTCTCACGAATTGTAAATTGTAATTTTAATGAATTATTTTCTTTTTTGTACGAGAAAAATCTTTTTTCTTTTTTTACTTTTATATAAGATAATATCAACACTTATGGATGCTATCCTGTTTTTTTAATTTTAATTGTGCTTTTATCGATACTTTATACTTTTTATTTTTTATAAAAACATAATTTCGTTTTTTTTGTTTTTCTTCTAATTAAATTTGTACCCTCTGATTGAACTAAATCTGAGACAATATTCAAAAAATAATATTTGAATGCTTAAAATTCGGGATCACCGTATTTAAACATTCATCTCATTTTCTGAATAAATTTCAGAATTTAAAGAGACTGAGAGTAAAAAGTCTTAGATCTCAAATACAAGCCTTGAATTTCAATATCTTGTATTCGTTTTTCTCATATATTAAAACAATAACTGAACTTCACTTTGAGATTTTAATTAAATCACTCAGAAAAACACTATAATTAGAACTAAATAAATTTTACTTTCTTTTATTTTTTAATTTTAACTCACTCTTTTAAATATTCACCTTTTTATATTTTATTTCTTTATTTGTTTTTTTGTATAATTTAATATATTCTTTTTATTTGATTCCTTCTTTTTTAAATAAATATTCTTGTTAAATAACAATATCAGATTTTTATAAATCTATCTTTTTTTAAGAAAACACTCACTTCAATATTTGAATTTCAACCCTTGTTTTTGGGGATAAGAAAAATAATCTACTTTCGCCTTTTGCGGGAAAAGAAAAAGTAAAGATATAGTAAACGTCCTGAAATACTCCCGCTCTGCGGGAAATACTCAATAATACTCCTCGATTAATTCAAAAAGGAAATCGTTCACACCCTGGAAATTGACTCAATTTTTTATAGGTGGGAGAAACTTATGCACATGGCCCGCCAAACTTTATTGTTACCAAGGAAGCTTTTTGCAAGGTTGCGAATTCCTTGGTAAATGGCGTGATAGAGTTCGTTGTTCTCTATTGGATTTTGCGCGTGTGTATGTGTATTCTCCTTTGTCAGTATTTTTTACAAGTACTTTAAAGAGTCTTTGTGTAGGTGACTATTTTTTGTACAATTAACAAATTCCCGAGACGGTCGCTACATTCCCTTAAATCATTTCTTTTCATATCCTTTTTATCGAGACAATAATTTAGTAATTTTTTAAATACTGAAAAAATTAAAATAACTATTTATTTTTTTATGGATATTCTTTATGATTTAGTACTAACAAATTGATGAGTAATGTATATAGGGGAGAGTGGGGCAAAGACGCTATGCGGGGTAAAGTCGTTTTTTAAAATATCTCCTTCATTTTCTGTCTATTCCAATTGGTATTAAAAATTAAGTTGCAATGCAATCAGACCAATTGATTAAAAAAAAACCTAAAAATATCAAATATTTTAAGAAATATAACAAAAAAATTGTTTTGCAAAAATAAAATGATAGTTTTACTGAACAAACTTTTATTTTTTAAAACATAAGTTTAAGTATTTAATTTTTAAAAACGTAACATGTAAATAAATTAAATATTTCTCTACACAACTGGCGTGGTGTTTTAGTTTAATTTTGTATCTAAATATTTTAAATTTAAAGTAAAAAATAGTATATTTCGTGACAACTGCTAGCACTAGTTACGAACGATATTTTTCATAACAAGGTGCAAAAAAGTGCCCTTTTTTGCACCGCGTTATGAAAAAGTTTGTTATATGGGGCAAAGGCAATATTGAACATAATTTGGTTAAAAATAATTGAATATTCGAATTTTATATGTATTAATTCACAATATAAGGTTAAAATCACTAAAAGTTTTTATTTTTTATTTAAATAGTTTAATTCTCTTAATAATATGTTGTTAACCTTATGTTTCGTAAATATTATACTAATAAATATCACTTGTTAATTTTTTTAAGGCTTATAAATGCTTTCTTTTAAAAATATAAGCGAAAACGTCGCTGCCCCAGCGTGTGGGGCAAAGGCATTTTTTGCATTGTTTTTAAATTTCATCAAATAAAGTATTTATAATTGTAATATACTAAATAACAACTATTAAAATTTCTTGTTGTTTAGTTTTAGAGTAATGAAAAACAAAGACCGCATAAATTAATGGCTTAATTTAAAAAATATACATCGATAAATGTAAACCTAGCGCCTTTGCCCCACTCTCCCCTTAATTTTAATTAACATGTTTACCCATTTTTAGATTCTATATAATCTTAATAAAAAGTAAAAAAAAGTATATAACAAAAATTAAAATAGTTACGTTTCGAACGTAACACAGGGTAAATCCGCTCACATTATCTTTTCAAGATGGAACATTTTTTTTTTAAATATTAAAATTCGTCTTATTCTCGTCTTAAGTATGATTTATTATTGATAATTTATGTGTTATATAAACAATTCTATAAACAACAAATTGGTTTAATAAATAATGAATATAGGTTTCATGAATTACAACTATCGATTAAAGAAATGTTATATTTTATTAGAAGAAAGTGAAATGTAGTTACAATTTTTGTTTTAACAAATCATAAATTTTATTATTGTTAAAATATAATACGTGAAAATATTTTATTCGAAATTTTAAATTTAAAACTAAGTGAGCGACTTTACCTCAAGTGTATTCCTCACATTTCAGAATAAATTTAATTAAATCTTTTTGAAATAAGACAAAACTATATATGTACTTCGAAGAAGGACTTAAAATTTAAAAATCCAAAAAACATTTTTTTTCTGACACCTCTAAAAACATTTAATCGACTCTGATTCTATGTTAAATTCATGAAACTAAACGAAAGTTCGTTAATATAAGTTGAATGTTAAGTACTATTCACAGGACCAATATCTCCATCTTAAGTTGAGTTCATAGCTTCAAATCGCTAGTGAGCGGGTTTACCCCAGTCTCCCCTACTTGCATTTTCTAATGGAATGTATGTAGATAAAGTCTTGTAAAAATATCAATTCTATAAAAAATTCGATACAAATAAGCCTATGAAAAAAATGTTATTTTTTTGGGACATATAAAAAAGTTAGAGTAATCACAAGTAATTCATTTGGACAAAACGAATCATTGGACGAACGAAATTTTTTTTTGCAGTCGACTTGACAACCAAACTG